GTGAGTTAAATTTAATATAAAATTATTTTAATAAATGCTATTTAAAGAACTTTAATTTTAAAAAAAATTATAAATTGTTTTAAAAAGTATATTTATTAATTATATTTTTTTAATTGTAAAACATTAATTTAAAAATGATGTAATTTTGTTAGTCAATTTTTCATATTTGTGCCATTAAAGAAATTATTGTTATGCATATAAATATAATGCTTTAAGTAGGTTGATATAGATTTTTTTAGTTCAATTGGCATTCTTAGAATAAATTTTTGGAACATTATCTTTTCACAGAAACTATAATCTATAAATTCAGTTTTTTCTCAAAATATATTTTACATCTAATAAAACATTATTTTAAATTTAATAATAGAATTTTTTTTAATATATTTTAAAGACTTCTAGAAATATGTATTTTTTTTATTAAATTTCAAGCTAAATCAAGGTAAAGTTCATTTACCTTGAATTATATCATTTTGTTTCTTTTTTAAAAATTATTGAATAATTAAAATTTAATGTTTATTTTTATAGTTTGAATTTAAAAATATATATTTTTGATTATTTTGATATTTATAGGTTTAAATTATTATCATTAAATATTTATAGATTTTAATATCTTTTAATTTCAATTAGTTATAAATGATCAGTTTTATGATAAATTGAATTTAGTTATCCCAAACTTACACATATAATATATCATAATATTTAAATTAAATAATAGGCAATAACTAGTCTTACAACAGATAAGAAAATAAAGTTTATATTATTTTTAACTGACTTTTAAATGAAATTTGAAAACTAATAAATTTCGTATATTTAAGAAATTTTTACTTTACATATAAATGCAGTTATGTGCTACATAATAATGTTCTACTTAACACAGACCATATATAAGAGCAGTTCTAGAAGTTTATAATGGAGCCAAAAAATCTGGTAGTTATCTACATTTTTTCTACATTTAGTTACACAAAATAGTGGTTCATGAGGTTGTTGCCCCACAAAAGACAACATAATACACATAAAATTACTTAGAAAGTGAATGCAATATATAACTGTAGAGAAAAACGTGAAAAAATTAGGACATTGTAACTGATGTTATTGATTAAGCAAAAGTAAAATAGGTATGATGGTCAAGAAGGCCATTTTCAAAACACAGTCCTTATCATTATTGGAAATTTCTGGCAATAAGCAGTGTTTTAATGGAAAATTAAAATTGTGAAAGACCAAAAGTGCCACCTGGGACAGATAGTCCTTCCTAGCTATGCTACTGATTAGACTATATAATAAAGGTTTATTTATGTACACACTATGATGTTCACTTAACACAATTTCTTGAAACATAGCCCTGTTGTTAAGTGGTGCATACCTGTAATATAATATATAAATTTTTTTTCTAACATTAAAAGGAAACCAAAGCATAACAAATTTGAAAAACAATTTCATTTATTCAGTTTTGGTAAAAAAGTATAAATCAGTATATTGATAATTCAACAAAAAATAAATTATTATTACTCAGAATACACTTTTTGTTCATTTTTATTATAAAACTATATTCTACAAGGTGATTTTTAATTTATGCAAAACTTTAAACTTTAATAACTTTTCAACTGAATGAGATTGAAATAAATTCAAAAAATACTATATAGTACACTGTTTACATTTTTGATGTCGATGATTGATTAATGTTAACTGCATTTTCAATATGATAGTGCTCACTTTAGAACAATATGTATTTATTGTAAAGAATTATTATCAAAATTGTAATTCTTCAATTGGTGTGCTATCACTGCTAGCAGAGTTATTGGATCATTCTTCTTCAAAAACAACATTACTTCTGCTTCATATGTTGAATTATTGGAAAAGAAGTTTTATCCCAAAATGCTTGCTGCATAAACATCTTGCACCATCTTGCATAAACCAACATGTTTATGCAAGATAATGCAAGGCCCCATCACAGAAAGCAAGTGATCAAAAGTTTTTACAGCATGTAACTGGATTAGATTATGAGAAATATGCTGGTAGTGGCACAGAGTGGCCCTGACATAAACCCATGTAATTTCTTTTTATGGGACTATCTTAAAGATAGAGTATATCACAATGCCTCTGCAACTATTGAAGAGTTGATAGACAAGATAAAAAGAAAATAATGGTGATTCCAAGAAAGACCTGTATTATTGTTACTGATGTTTCAAAAATTGGTTAAGAACTATTATTGTAAGTGAAGGTAATCATTTTGAAAACCTAATTCATTAAATGGCAATAAATTCTGTATAATATGCTTTTTGAATTTTCTTTTTATCTCATATAGTTGAAAAGTTATTAAAGTTTTGCGTGAATTAAAAATCACCTTGTATGTCAAAAATAAATAGTATTTAAACAATTGTGCATTTCAGGAAAATTAAAAAGGAAAAAAAAGAATCAAAATAATTATGAAATAATATGACAATATTTCAATATTTTTATTAAAACAAATAAACTGTTTCAATAAGCTAAATTGTTACTGAAAACTATGATACTGTATGTAAATAATTCAACAAATTTTTGT